TAATATTGTATATATATATATATATATATATAATATTAGTGTAATAAAATATACAAAATAAAATATAACAGTTAAAAATTTTAGGTAACACTTTATTTTAAGGTGTCCTTGTTACACATGATACATGTACTTACTATTATAATAGCAATTAATTATGCATAATTACAAGCAAGTAACCCTAAACCAAACCCTAATCCTAACCCTAACCATATAGTAAGTACATGTAGTTAATTAAAATTACTCAGTACTTATATGTATAATTACATTGTAACAAGGACACCTAAAATAAAATGTAACCAAATTTTACACTTAAAAAACATAAATGAAAATGAAAAATGTTGCCTTGTCAACTGATATAAAAACGTTTAAACTAAAGTACTAAAATTGTATATGAAACAAAAATAGTCGAATAGAAATAAAAAAACAAAACTGTCAGAAGCAGATAACAAAATTTCTAAAACTTAAACTAAAATTAAAATAAAAAATATAAACATAAAAGCTCATTCAAAATATAAATAAATACTATAATAGTACACTATATGAATGAATTATGAGTGTTAAAAAATGTCTTATTTTTGTCTTACCTGTGTTTAAACCTCTCACAAAGTCCTTCTATACATTCACAAAAGATGGAGGAGTCTACGCCGCCTTGAGCGTCCGGCTCCTCGTTGGCTGCGCTGGATAACTGCTCCACCGAGGTGGAGGTCGGGACTATGACAGTGTTTGGGCTCTTCCCCGACAGCAGGTCTTGGTAAATCACAGACACACTCTCCACAAACTCTGCGGAAGTGAATGAGGATGAGATCATTCCAATGAACGAAGGAGCCTCGAGTAACCATAGAAACACTTTCACATGGTAGTGATGATGTCACTCTGTCCTTTTGTTACAACTGCTGTTAAACTCTCAAGGTCAGAGCGGCTTTTGTTGTAAGCCAGACCTTTAAATATCATCACCTTGGAATTATAAAATTCTATCTGCCATTTCTATCTGCCAAGTTGTGTACATTTTGGGACTGATGTATGAAAGTGACTTGTTCCCCATATCCCATATCACTATATGGAATGCAAAAACTTTGAAGCTCAATATCTCAAAACTGCTCAGAATGCAGACAGAAGCTTATAATTCCAAGGTGATGAAATCATCATTGCTGTTTTGTGATTGGGTGCTTGAGTAATAACACCTGTAAGTAAGTAAATAATTAGCAAAAACTGCAGCTTCATATTGTTAGATATTTTTATTATATTAAATTATAACTTATTACCTTCAAAATAGAACTGGATTTGGAATGAATAAATAAAATCTGAGAATGACATTAGACAGTCAGTAGCATCTTCTATCAGGACAATCCTATGACAGAAAGAAAATATGAAAGTTAATAAGTTAAATATCAATATGATACGAGGGAAAGTTCAAGGAATCATCAATATTACTGTATATATACATATATGAATCTACCTGGCTGCATTTTGTACCATCTCAGTGGGAAAGTCAGGACACAACAGCTGTAAAAGTGAACTATATTCTGCCATTGCCAACAGATCTGCAAGAAGAAACAGCCGTATTTGTTCACTGTAAACACACCAATGCAAGCAATTAATGTAAAGAGTTATGGCTTGACATAAAAAATGATAAGAGGATTTGCCTCTGCTTACCCCCATTCTTTCCAATCTGTCTGAAGCATTTCCAGAAGATATGGATGAAGGACTCTCTGTTGTGAGAAGTCGCCTTGATGTAACTGAATTCCCTGAAGAGCACATGATTCCCATTCTTCACACTGGTAAAACTGTAAAATTATATTATATTTTGGAACATGTAACATGGTATATATCTGTATTTAAAAAACATATATACATATTAATATACAAATAAAATATTATAATATAGTAATAAATAAGAAACGAATAATACATATTTTACATATATTGTTATTATTATTAATTTCTATTAATAGCTGTACAGCCAAAAGTGCTCAATGATAACAACTTACTATTCTGCAAAATATCGGGCCACACCAAACTGAGTGTATTCCTCTTTATGTTCAAGTAGCTGTGTGACTGCATCGTTGAGATAGAAGAGGACATTCGTTTCAACTGGAAAGTAAAAAGAAACGGCAATGACATGACAGTAGTGTGTTCATTCTTTCCAGTGCAACTGTCAATCATTCTGCGAGCAGGCATCTTGGAACCGACAGCAGTTTATCAATCTACGAACCATCAAAACATCCACTCAAGCAATAATAACCGAACCATACCTAAATACTCGTCAACAGTGAGGTTGAATCGATCCGTATTCATTTTCATGGTGTTTTATGGAATTAAATGATTAGTCTAAACTGGGATGCAGATGCGGTGCATGACTCCATTCAGAATGGAGTCCCTAAAGCTGCTTTAGCGGTCAGTGTGCCCACTCTGCACTGCGCCAGACACAGCGCATCAGAGTATGCGTAGTTTCTTAGGGCTCAGTGCTAAAATTGCAGGTAAAACGTTATATTAATCCATTTAAATAGATTTTATTCTCTTATTTAAAAAGTATAGGATCACTGGAAGTCGATATTTGTGTTTTTTCCCGAAACATTTATTTTGTATTTGTGTAAGAACCTCAGTCTCCTTGCTAAAACGAATCCAGGGATATAAACCAACCAATAGACGGCGCGGTAGAGCAGCACGTGACACAACACGGAAGTGAGCACTGTGTGGAGTCTCGCCCTCTTTTGAAAAAATGCCTGGCCGTGTTTCATCAGTTTTTGTTGATGCAGCCGCGGCTATGGAAACCCGCGCATGCGCAGCGCAGTTCGTGTACATATCGGTTAAAAAAATACTCAAAGGGTATTCACTTAATTAAAAAGCTACATTTTATTTATCGCAAAAATGTAATACTATAATTATTTATAAATTATTAATAATTGGCATTTTATATATATATA